TGGCACATGTTTGGTCAGTGAACGCTGAGCGACACTCATCGCCTCTCGATCGATCGTGAAGCATGTCAGAAACGACAATGGTGATAATATCAGAACGTTTTGTAGCCGATGTTATTCGTATTTTGCAGCTGCGATGATAAGTTAGTTGGTGAACAGAGAGGAGAGTCATTTGTTCGTTAGTCTCTCGATGAGTTAATAAGGCGCCGTCGGCGTGAGACAGTGGCAGCTGGTGTGACACAGTCTGACGTGACGAATCCCCCCCCATCGCCATTTTTTCTCTCTCCAATCTCGTGTCGCCTTATCGAACAGCTGTCATCAAGGCGATTGGCACGTGACTTTGGTTGATTGCCGAATGGTCGGCTGACACCAGAATCACGTTCATCACGTGCAATGCCGTCCTTCAGATTGTGCATCATTAACAAACAGATTATTGGTCTTAGTCGTCGACTGGCAGCCGTATGCCATCGTCTTATTGCCGTCACTGTCGGAGATCCGATTTCGACAGATGAACCCCGGCAAGCGGTAGGAGGTTAGCGCCAACGGTTCCGTGGTCGAATGCCGAAAGCAGGAAACAGCATCTGTTACCAGCTAATTCCCCTGGGCAAAAGATTTACTCCACATCGCTTCCGTGTAGCCAGCCGGGAAATGGATGACAGCTCGTTCACCTGAGAACAATGGCAACAACATGGTGTTCTGGCGTGGTCGTACAATCGTGCTTACTGATGTGAGCGCTTCCTAGGGCTTTGACCCATCTGATAGCTGACTATTCATGGTGATGGTCAGGACAAGGCATAAACACCAAAGGAGGAAGGGGAGTTTGCTCGATGATGTCCTCTTTACAAACAAATTTTCGCATCAACTGTACGGTACACCTGCAGACGTGCTGAAAAAGTACTGTACGCAGGTCGGAACCTTGCGCCTTACTTATTTCGCAAAATGTGGTAGGCGTATGCATCTACTTCATGTTTCCTTGACGCAGCTCAATTACCGCCGTTCCGAAGAAACCTGCCGCGGTGGGACGAAGCCAGCTGGCGTCGGCTGCAGCAATTCGACACGACGAAGGCCTGTTGATCTCCAATTTCCAACAGGAAAGCGACAGCCGTTAAAGACGACCACCAAATTCAACGTACTGCTGTCGAACAAATCGCTCGGGAGACTGGCGACACCGTGATATCGACGGCGGTTGTACGATGTCGCAATTCTAACCAACGCACCGTTGACGATCATTGTCGTCATCTTTTCGTTAGGCTTATGAACATAATGGAAGTCCTAGATTTTATTTGAAAAGTCGGTCGATGTCATCTTCCACGTAGCCGCAAACCACGTGTGAAGTCAGAGAAACCCGTGACAGCAATCGCTGTCAACCGCAACCTGCGGCTTTTATTACTCCGCGTGAGAGTGAATGAATCATCAGAGATGAAAATGTGAAATGAAAATTTATTTTCATGTGTAAATATATCTACTTTTCGTGGCATATCTGCAAGTGTCCGAACAGGCCTTTGTTCGGTTCTGCATGCATGCACTGCAAGTGTTTAAATACCATGGAGCCATGACCTGCTTAAATAGTCCCCGTAGGCAACTAGAAGCAAAGGGATGGTGCTGTTATGCCGCTTCACTCTGGTATCAAAAGAGAAAGTGTGAAAATTTGTTTCTTTATTGGATTCACCAAAGAACTCCGTTTTTCGGCAAAACGAAAATCAGTACAATTGACTGAAAACATTGTACATGTCAAGAGTATATAATTGCACTTGGACTCTAAGTGATAACATGGTGAATTTGCAAAAAGCTGCATTTAATGAACCTACAGAGGAGATCAGTAAACAAATGAACCTCTAGTTCAATCAGTGCAGAACCGCTATCAAAACTAAAGCAATCAACAACTGAGCTACGTTCTATTGGAGAAGTTCAGGTAATGTTGTTTAACACAGAGTGTCAACGCTGAGGTTAAGATTACTGACTTCGGGTACAGCCTCGTCTTGGCAAACGTACCGACAGGCATTGCGAGAGTTTGTTATGTAGTGGACGATAGGCAGAGCTGAGGGTGACTTGTCCCATACAAATACCGTCAAAAATGTCAAATCAACGGCAACGAAATTGTTCGTTATTTGGGCAAACACTCATTCAGGGGATTTGCCTCAATGCGTCAATTTTGCGCATTTGGAGTTTCAGACCAACTTTTGTCGCGTCAGTTTTCATTCGCAAATTTTCTGAAATCCTCCAGTATGGTTTCCCTTCCTTTCAAAATCATATCGCAAGACTTAGCTATAACCTAGGATGTTGTGCATAAATCTTCGTCAGTGCCATTTAGGCCTAGTGCTAATGGTGGCAGGGCCAAAGCATCTGCCGTCAGGGAAGCAGAAAGAATTTTTTGAAATGATTTTTAGCAACTGTCATTGCTTCCACGAAGCAAAACTGCTGAGCGGCCACAGCGCTGATTTAGCAAGGCATAAAAGTAATGTTATGTTTATCTCAGTCAAACCAGTCGTAGGCTTATATAAAACTACGTTTGATTCATTAACAAACCTGTCTTCCGGCATGTTTCTAAATGCCCTGTATTTTTGAACGTCTCACATTTTGCTTCACACCGATACTGTCAGCCAATGGCGATCCATGTCATTAAATCGGGTGTTACCGGGTTGTGATGCATCGTCTGTTTTAGTCGTCTAAATGGACTATTCAGACAGGGAGCAGTTCCATGGCAATTGAGCACTGGCAGTGGATAGCTATAACTCAGCATTACTGAAGTGTACGATTCAGGCGCGCCTGCACGAATACTTGTAGCTCAAGCGACACACAGCCTCGATACGTCACTGGACATGGTCGAATCGAGAATGTCCACACATCAACTCTAAGTTGCGGCTCAGGCAAAATGCCAACTCGCGGCGCCATTGTAGGCGATCTATAACGAAAACCATTATTTTATCTTTTACGTTTTGGTTTGCATCAATATCGCAACATTGCATGAAGATGCATTACACCGGGTTTTACTACAATCTTCCATCACCCCGTTTGTCAAAATGTAAAAGTGCAAGCAACCGTCGACCCATTGAAGCATGGTAATATTGCATGATTTATCGTTTGATTGCAACCGCTGCAGAACTGCAACCAAAGCTTTTAGGCAGATCCCAGACGATGACTCTGAGGTGTAACACCTGAGGGAGGTATCTGCCTATTTCGTCTATCTGAAAAGGCTTACAACTGATGCATCCAGTGGAAGCTATAGAGTGAGTTACAAGAATGTGGAGCAAATGGCCAGCTATTCAGCACAATCGAATATCTGTACAACCGCTCTGAGGTGTGTTTCTGCATTAAGGGCAAGAACTGGATGCGCTCCAAACTGCAGATTGGTCTTCCCGAAGGGCTTGCGTTGTCTTCATGTCTGTTCAAAGTTTGCACAACTTGGTCAGCACAAGCACGGCGGGCACAGCAAGCATCTGAGTTGAGGATATTTGATTGAATCGTTTGCTATTTTCCAGTGAACACTGATGTTTGTTTCCTGTTACGCTGACCTCCAGCATGTATGACAGGTTCTCCACCGCGCATGACAAGGTGCAAATGTCGAATGAAAATCAGCCTGATCGAAACCGAGGCGATTACATTCCAGAAAAACAGCCAACTGTTCTCTGCACGTTGACGGAGGGCTTCAGACATCCCAGATAACATCAGTGAGTCACGACAGACAAGTCGAGAAACTAAGCACATGAATCGATCTGGCTTGCGCTGCATTGCGAGTTGGAGCTGCTTAGAGTGCAACCCTATGTTCACCACGTTTTACCATTATGCAGAAATGCTTATTTGTAAGCTTTGATCTTCAGATGAGCTGCTATTCTGACGAGGAGCCTCCTAGTTCAGTCCACCTAAAATTCCTGTTTCATCACTCTAGAAGGTCTGAAGGCGAATAACTGATTGGGATTCGAATCCAAGATCTTTTGAGGGCAATTCCGATGCTCGACCGACTGAAATGCCTCACGCTACTTGCACGACAATGGTCGAACAGCTGACCTTCAGGATAATTGAAAAGTCCAAAAATTTTTGTATGTGTGATAAACGCGAAGACAGCAAATCAGATCAAATCAAACCGCTAAACACTACCAGACTCTTTTCAGTCTTTGATACCTGATTGAAGCAGCGTAAGCACCTTTCCCTTGCTTCTAGTGGCCTAGGGGACCGTTTAAGCAGGCCATCATGGTTCCATGCTTTTTGAGCACCAGCGGTGCATGGATGCAAAAGCGCATCACCAGGCAGGGCCGAACAAGGACCTGTTCGGACACTTGCAAATGTGCTACAATCCGTAGGCGTATTTATGCAAGAAAATAATACTCGATCTTAATGGTTTACTAGCACACTATACAAATATATATAATCCTTGTCAGTTTCTGATTCCCATGAAATCGGGTTTTATTTTTCTTTATTTTCTTGACTCTGCATTTATGCCATGCACGTTATGGATTGCTGCTTGCGTGTGTTTTCACAAGTTCTGAAACGATATTTCGTTTCGTCAAGTCGCTTCACTGCGCGTTTTCACGATCTATTAATCGAAATTTGAGTGACAACCAAAGCAGTGTCGAGAAATGGTTTTAATGGGGCAGAAGTTATTTGGCCTGATGAAATGGAATTCGACAGGCCATTAAGTTTTGAAGATACAAGGTACCGTAGTAACTGTCGCGTTACCCTCGGACTTTGACGGATTTCATATCGCATCTTCCTGGCCGACCAACTGATCAGTTGTGGTTATGAGCAGATCAGCAACTCCCTCGACTTCTTTCGAACGACTGCTTTCGACGCATCTGCTTAGGGCACGGAGTCATCGAACGTTTGCGGAGCCAGTCAGTGAGAGTAGGCTCAAGAGACAAACTCCGTTTGCAGTTGCTTTCAACTTCAGGGGCTGATTGGTTGTAAATCTTGACTATTGCGCTTACATTAGGCGGCGATGTCGGAGCATCTGTAGAGAAAGTCTTGTGATTTTGTATATTCTTTCAGTTTCTACGGTTCTTTTGTGTTGTGCGCCAGGCGGCGCTAAAGTTTGGCACGTAATGACTGTTTCGGTTTTGAAGTTCCTGCTAAGGAACTTGAGCAACGTATCCTGAAAGCCTACCCGCGCTTGGACATTTTCAGTTTCTCAAACGACAACCATCCGTTTCGTCCGACTCTGTCTTCTTGCGTGGCCCCCTATTTTCGTACAAGATCAAAAATAGCTAACATCTACTGTCAGACGGAGCTGAGAGAAAAGTCAGTAATTCTGCCAAGGTTCACATCAGGAAGGATGCATCATTGCTTTCCGAAAGATGATGTGAGCAGCTACATAACTTATTCTGCGACTGACGTGTACTGTTGCATTGTTTCGTCATCTTTTGTCGCCGTTCTTTGTACTGAAAGATATGTTCATATTCTGAGCAATCAAGCAGCAGCATGCATTCATTCAAAAGACGATGCTTCGTCTACGGCTTGAGGCTTATGTCAGTTCTCAACAACTGCCATAAGGGCTAATAAT